CACAGAGTCTTAGTTTCTTCTCAAGAACGGAAGCTGCTCTAATCTACAGCATCATTAGAAACCTAAAGTGGTTGGGAAAGTGCAACCATGGCACGTAATATATTTTCTGTCCGATCTCCCCCCATAGATCTCTTTTTCTTTTCTTTTCACAATGGACCTGACGGTTTCAAAGTAGTAGCATCTGTTGGCCAAGACTGTCCTTGTCCGAATTTCAAAACTGATGGTATTAGTATCATTTGTGGCGTCACCAAGGTATATAAAATCTTTGACTACCTCGAAGCTATGATTCTCAAGTTCCACAGTTGGTCTCCACAGTATTCTCCCTTTTGTATGGAATTTACTTCAGACCACTGTGGATATTAAAAAATAGGCTGGAGCTTTAGGGAAATATTGGCCTAGTAGCATTTTCCCTTTATATGGAATTAGGATCAGGCCTTACTTCCTTAGCTGACTTGTGACAGAACATTTGTCCCATAAGCCGAGTTTAGAAAAAATTTACAGGCGATTCGGTCTTGTGCGTGGCTCTTCTAATATGAAAGACGACGTTCGAAATGTTGTCTTCCACTTGATCTTGCCATCTAATTCGTGGTCTTCCCCTTCTGCGTGAACTATCAGCTGGTTCGCTTTTATATGCCTTTTAAGCTGGGTTATCTTCATACATTCTCACAACATGGCCTAGCCAACGTAATCGCTGCAGCTCGATACGCCTCTGACTATGTCAATGTCCGAGAATAGATGGTACAACTCATGGTTCATTCGACAGTGATATTCACCGTCAATACAGATCGGGCCATATATCTTTCGGAGAATTTTTATCTCAAACATTTCAAGAGCTACCTCATCTGCTTGCGCAAGTACCCATTCTTCAGATATATATTACAGCAAGGCGTCTTGAAGAGTGTGAGTTTAGTCTGGTGGGAGGCGGCCTTGTTCCTAAACTGCTTACTTAGGTCGTAATAGCGTCTATCTATCCTTCTCCGAATTTCAAAAACCGATGTCATTAGTTTTATTTATGGCAGTACGAAGGTATATAAAATCGTTGACTACCTCAAAGCTGTAGTTCTCAAGTTGCACAGTTGGTCCGAGTCTACTGTACGTCTTGCGCGTTGATACCATCAGCTTGGTCTTCTCGCCATTTCCTGCCAGACCCAATTTGGCAGACTCCTTCTCAATTTGTTGAAAAGTGGAATGTGTCGATGAGTTTTTCGTGGGTCTTTTCCAGAATTTGGTGTAGAGTGAAAATCTGGCCAATATCACATCTTTGATATGTCACATATGCGAAGTTTAAACAAATATTGGAATGGGTTGCGTATTAGCAATTCCCGGACATGGTGGCGTATGATCAATCAGCTTTAAATTTAATTTGGATGTTCATTATTTGAATTGTCTTGGATACATGAAAATTGGTTATTTTTATAATGACGATGTTGGTTGATCTTCCCAAAAGAGTTTTATATTCAGCCTGAACGAATTGTGAGGTGCGCATTCAGAATATCTAAAATCGGTCGGAACCCTTATATGGGGAAAATGTCAAAGCATAGACCCTGGAGGGTTTTATTCTTTAAGAAATAGAATACGAATTACGAATAGTAAAATTGCAGGTTGGAAAATTCGGTTAAGACCTTCAACTTACCTAAAGGACCGGAAACTATATATGAGGTATTTTTCAAAAACATGGTCCTTTATTAAATATATAGTCACTATTTCAAAGGCCAGTTGCATTAGAAGTATCGAAGCTTCGCTACATGCCGTTGAGATAGAGATGGGATCTTTATCCTTGCTAGCGGTTGCATCCGTTCTCATCATCATGGAAAATTATGACCACAGCCATAGCGTGACCTTAGAAGTGGAAATTTGGGGGTGCCATTTTAGCTTCGTCAGTCCTGGGATCATAGGCCCTCGCTCATTTCCTCCGAGACTCTCCAGGCCAGGACCTGCTAATTGTCCGCGATTGTTTATTTAAATTTTTCGGTTCACTTTAAGGGTTGCCCGCATATGACGATGCTCCCAATATTCGGTATTCCGAAGCTTTTGGACACGATGTAATTTGGTAGTTCACGTTCACGCTGTGTCGAAAATCTTCCTTCTAAATAGTATCAATATTGGTTCACTTTTTAGACTAGACCTCATATATCGTTACCTCCCAAATATCGGTATTTTGAGTAAATTTTACAACCAAATATGCATATTTTTGTAAAAGGCAATATAAATCGAAATAGACCCATGCATGTCCGTCTATATATTTTTGTGTCGCATTTATGATCCCATTTGAATCAAATTTGGCATAGTTAACTTATTTGACCCAAGGACGAACCCTATTGATATTGGGGAAAATCGGTTCAGATTTAGATATAGTTGCCATATATAGTTTCGTCCGATTTTATGTAAATGGTGCGACAAACTCCCAATTTTTGTCCGATTGAGACACAATTTTGCACAGAATACTGAATTAGGTCTAGATAGAATCGGTTCAGATTTAGATATAGCTCCCATATATATTTTCGTGCGATTTTATGTAAATGGTGTACCAAACTCCCAATATTTGTCCGATTGAGACACAATTTTGCACAGAGTACTGAATTAGGTCCTGATCAATGTATGCGAAGTTTTGTTGGAATCGGTTCAGATATAGATATAACTTCCATATATAGTTTCGTCAGATTTTATGTAAATGGAGCACTTAAGAGTCAAATTTAGTCCCATTGGCACAACATTTTGCACAGCGTACTGAATTAGTTCCAAATTTATGCACGCGAATTTTATATAGTTTGCTCCTTATATAGTTTCCTGTGATTTTATGTAAATGGTGCACCATACTATCAATGTTTGTCCGATTGAGACAAAATTTTGCACAGAGTACTGAATTAGGTCTAGATTGATGCATATCAAGTTTTGTATTGGATTTTGTGTCGATATAAATTTTCGATAGCGCACTGTGTTGCAGCTCAAATACGTCCATTTTTATATAGATCTTTAACATATTTTGCTCGATAATTGACATTCAATTTTTCATAAATTTCAGATTGGTATGTGTATGGGTTGTTTTAATATAGTTCAAATAGATATGTTCTTCAGGCAGTTAATTTCGTCTGATTCCATTTCAATGGTCCTCCAAAGATGTCTATGTCTATTATATCTAAAGGATAGTGTACATATGAGCATCTCTTGTATGTACCGAAAGTGGTGAAGGTTATCATATAGTCGGCCCTGTCCGACTTTTGATCTTTCATTATTGGTTTCAAACTAGCATTCTCTAAGAAACGTGAAATCTCAAAATAATCTTTGCTCAACTCTAATTGAGTGGATTGGTGTACTGCTGGGAAGCAGAAGCACCAATTCAAACGTTAAAGAGACTTCCGGAAGGAAAACAGCGGCCCTGAAGCAGTGGCACATGTCAGAGAGCAGAGAGTACTATCTCCCCTAATGTGGCTTCTGGTGATAAATAAAGCCTGAAATTTTGTCGAAATAGTACGAATTAAGTGTCCTTGTCATAAACACTAGTAAAATAGAGTCTCTACTTAAGAAAACGTTGATAGACTCCAGGACCGGTGTCTTCTATCTTGAACATTTTTGTGTATTACCTATACAGTCTTATAAGCACTAGGTCTGTTAAATGATTTGTCCATCGATTTATATTAACATCCTTTGTCATATCCTGACCGAATATCTTTTCCGCATCTCTTCAGTAGAGTAATAATGTCCTCCATTTGGCTAAAAAGGTTTGGTTTTTTTACTATTTCATTATTTGCTGATATTTCTTTCTATAATCTCCATGTGGTGGGGCTGCATAGCTAGACGATGGCAAATGAGTGAATGAGTTATACGATAGTTAATTTTCTACGTTAATTTGTTGTTATACTTCTCTATATACATATGTACAAGAACAATATTTCGTTGAGCTACGACGAACAACGGAAGTTTAAAACACTAACAAAAGCGGGAGAGACATTTGTTCATTTCTTTTTGGTTGGATTTTCAAATACATTTTGTGTGTTTTCTACATTTTCATCATCACATATTTGTACTTCATAACTTGTTGTTGTCTTCACACAGTTGTTGTCGTCGTCTTGCATGTGGGTTTCACGTCATATGATGATAGACGGGAACGACGACGGTGACGTGTGGTGGATATATAGATGGATGAAGTGAATATTGTTGTTTTTCTTTTCTTTAAAGGGGGATACATGCAAGTGTGCTTAAGAGTGGTTTGCTGTTTTTGTAATTCGATTTTAAAGTAATAACAATTTTAGACTTCAAAAAGGGAGAATAATTGACATTAACTTATTCTTCTTGTTTCTCTTATAGAGTGTCTTTCCATTTCGTCCATTATCAACATTTCTCGCGTTTGTTGTTTTGTTGTTATTTAGCCGGTTAGCAGTTTTGCCTCTTTGATGTGTGTTTGGCATGTAACTGCTTTACCAAATGACATTTTAGCCATACTCACTGTTTCACATTGTTACCGCTCTTTAACTTACACGCGCTCTCTCTCTGACACTCTGTATTTTATTGTTGATAAATTTAACGGCAGAGTTCTTTTTGTTGTTATTGTATGTGGCACGTTGTTGTGATTACATTGCCTTGTGTCAAATCAGTCAGTCAGCTGAGAGTAGAGTTGAACAAAAAAAAAGCTTGGTAAGAGTGTCGTGTGGGCATTTTTATTTCATTCATCCTTGATTAGGGGTTTCTCTCCACTTACCACTCTCTCCCCTGTCTTCTTTACACACTTTGGCAAATTGTTGTTATTGCTGTAAATAAACATTCTTGATTTGTCTTGTCCTTTAAAACACTAACAAGTATGTGAGTTAACTTTACACAGTCACACACTCTACCTACATACACATATATAAAAAAATTCCTCTTCTCTGTGAGCTTGTTGTTTTTAAACTATCTTATTTTTTTATTTGTGATTAATGTTACTTGTTAATATTTAATGGGTATCAGTATTTCCTTTTTTGTTACATTTCTTTTATTCACTTCTGTTTTTATTTTCTTTTTTCTAGGGAAAATTCACAAAGTCCTCAAACAAGTCGAAATAAAACAAGAACCTCACGAAGGCTCATCATCGGCAGCAACAGCAGCAAACACAGTATTTGCCACCAATGTTGGCGGCAACATGGGCACATTTACACAAATGGTAAGTAAAAATATTTGTGGAATTTATACAAAAATCAACAGCAACTAAAGTATGTATGCAATATTTAGGTTAGGAATAAAAATTGAGAAAGGGATAATTAATAAACTCGTTGGACTGGAAATTTTTGATGAGATCTCTAAGAATATCACATATTTTGTATATTTATAGGATCCGTTTTATATGTATGTAAGAAGTCCATGTGTCCATCTTCGATTTTTTTAAAAAATATAAATCTAAACGGAATTCAATCGACGAAAGAAATGTTATAGATTGGATTCCTATTTTCGACCACACACAGATTTAGGATATAAGGAAGATCTTGACCGAATGCATTTATCCTAGTTCATACGAGAGCTATATACGTACAGAATAACGTGTTAACATTTTGAACGGATTGAATTAATAGTTTTCGAGTTATCGTGCCTGCCTTTTGTAAAAACACTATTTTGAAAAAAAATGTGTTTAATGTTTGAGAATCACTTCTACCGTCGATTGATGCTGACATAATAAATTGTCATAAAGAGTTGTTGAGATTTTCATTTAAAATTTTAAGTGCACATTCTTAAATTTGTGTAGATTCGAATTAAATCAAAAACAAAAATTAAATTTTTTGAAAGCCACTTAAATAATTGTATATTTTTGTGGAATAACTTCTAAGCGTTCGCTATAGAAAAAATATCCTTCATTCTAGAAAGAAGGCTAATTATGGTTAAGGTGAGGTTATATTAGTCGCTCAATCAGAGACCTACAGTTTATTGGGATCATCGTAAAAAACGCTATAAACACAGAAAGGTACAAAAGAAACCAATAAGGAAAGTATTGAAGTCGGGCTGGGCCGACTATTTGATACCTTTCACCACTTTGGGTATATTTTACATATGTATCCTAACAGACGTCGCCTTTTCGAAGGAACATTGACATGAAATTGAACGAATTTAAATATGTGATCTTTATATAAGTAAACCGACTAACATCTATCCCAACACATGCCATTCTGCAACCTATTCTAAATTTTGTAAATAGATTTAAAGCAAACCTTACACACGCTAATTGGAATGCTTCACTGGTAAAAATGTGCCCAATAAACATGATTAAATAGGTCGAAATTATATGAAAGCTATCCTATATCTAAATCTGAACCGATTTCAAGGAAATTTGATTTCAAGGAAATCTACACTACATTGTAAATTTGTGTAGATTCGAATTAAATCGAAAAACAAAAATTAAATTTTTTGAAAGCCACTTACTTAAATAATTGTTTATTTTTGTGGAATAACTTCTAAGCGTTCGCTATAGAAAAAAGATCCTTCATTCTAGAAAGAAGGCTAATTATGGTTAAGGTGAGGTTATATTAGTCGCTCAATCAGAGACCTACAGTTTATTGGGATCATCGTAAAAAACGCTATAAACACAGAAAGGTACAAAAGAATCCAACAAGGAAGGTAGTGAAGTCGGGCTGGGCCGACTATTTAATACCCTTCACCACGCCTTTTCGAAGGAACATTGACATGAAATTGAACGAATTTAAATATGTGATTATTATGTAAGTAAACCAACTAACATCCATCCCAACACATGCCATTCTGCAACCTATTCTAAATTTTGTAAATATATTTAAAGCAAACCTTACACACGCTAATTGGAATGCTTCACTGGTAAACATGTAATATCAATCAGGCACCCATTGATTATTTGGTGCCCAATAAACATGATTAAATAGGTCGAAATTATATGAAAGCTATCCTATATCTAAATCTGAACCGATTTCAAGGAAATTTGCCAGAGATTAATTTATATTAATTTCAGTTCGTTGTGTTAATCGGCCTAGATATGGGTCTTTAGTGCACCGCTTACTTAAACCCCTACAATGGTAAACGCGTAAATAATTTCGGTGGCAGAAAAATTGTTAAAATTAAATTAAAAAAGAACATTTTGTAGTCATTTATACAAAATATTATTAAATAACACATTGCTGTGACCATCCTGTTGAAGTTTTTCCTATTTGGATTTATTTGACTATTTTGACCGCTGATATCTCATTGTTACGGAAGCTGCTGTTTTTAACACAATTGTTTTTGTTGGTTGCTGCTTCAGTTTTGTTTTGTTTACATTCCTGGGAATCCACAGCTTTTTCTGTTGCTGTCAGTATTTGGTATTGTAGAGCTGTTAACTTGCAATTGTTGACAATGGCACCCAAGAAGAAGGTGTATAAATGTCCTAAGTGTGCACTTACGGTAACAGGGAACAGTATTGGATGTACTTCCTGTGATGATTTTTATCACATAGCTTGTTTGAAAATCACGAAGGAGCAACATTCGTTTTTATATAAGAATAAAAATTTTTCTTACAAGTGCGCGAAATGCATTAATGCCAAAAATTTATCAACAACTTCTTTTAATGAGTCCCTCGTAGAGGAGGTAGTAGTTCCTGAAGGAGTTAAGTCGGCCGTTTTGCCTGATTTGCAATCGGAGCTAAGATTATGCTGCACGAAGTTTAATTCAACACTCGAAAAGCAGCAAGAAATGTTTAAAGTGCAAATTCAAAATCAGGTCAAGGAATTTGAGACAAAGATGTGGAAATTTATTGAAGCTTTTCGTGCTGAGTATACAGTTAAAATTGAAAAGCTTGAGGATGACCTTAGGAATTGCTATGATGTGGTTAAACATATGGATGCGAACAGAGTCAGTGAGATGCGGGAACTGCAGATTAAGTCCGATATTATGCAGAGAAGGCTTAACAGAGCTGATATTGTGATTAATGGTTTACCTAATGGATTGCGTGATTTGAGGCAACCAATTGTTAATATAGCAGCGAAATTGGGGGTTGAACTAAGTCCAGTTGACATTCAGCATTGTTGCTACTTTCTCAAAGGCAAATCTGTACTGGTGAAATTCAACTCAATATATGTGCGAGATCTAATTATGGCAAAATATCATCGATCGGATGCTTTGCGGCTTTGTGATGTTACTGCTAGTGATGTGAATAGTCGAGTTTTTCTTAATGATCACCTAAATGCTGCTTCATCAAGGCTTATCTTTATCTGCCGAAAACTGAAGAAGTGTAACAAAATTATTAGATTCAGGCTTATTAGTGCAGACCAGCCTAAAGTTGAAGTTGAATTTTCTGGGGGAGCGTCTGATCTTCTTGATATCGATCGTTGTTTGCAGCTTCTTGATGAATGTGGAGTAGTTTTATCTCCTAATAATGTTGTGGGTAGATAGTATTCAGGGTTTTATTTTAATAATTTTTCTGCTAAGATGTTATATTTATTTTCCAATGAGCAATTTGCCAACCATTGTTAATGATAACAGCTTTTTGTCTTCACAATTACGCAATTACAAGGAAAATTTAAATGTTGGGCATTTCAACTGCCAAAGTTTCTGTGTTAATCACACATCGTCAAAAATTAATGAAGTTAGAGATATTTTAGATGGAAGTTTTTTAGATGTTGTAGGGGTAAGTGAAACGTGGCTCAAACCATTTATATCGTTGAATGTGGCTGATATTCCTGGATATGTTTGCCATAGGAGTGATCGTCCCGAAGGTTGAGGTGGGGGTGTGGCAATATATTTAAGAAATGGAATTAAGCATAAAGTAGTTGAATGCAGTTGTTTGTATGGGGAAGTTGAGTATATTTTCGTTGAAATTATTACAGGTTGTTCTAAGATGTTATTAGGTGTTGTGTATTTACCCCATGGTGATTTCTTGAAGTTTGAGGAGTGTATTTCAGATTTAGTTGTTAGATATTCGACTGTGATAATAATGGGTGATTTTAACAATAATTTATTTGAATTAAGGAAATCTGTTACAGTTAGAAATAGCTGTAGTAATTTAAGTCTCTCAGTAGTCCACAATTCTTTGCCAACACATTATGATATTGCGCATGATTCGACATCGCTCATTGATTATTTTCTGTTATCGTGTCCTGATCTTGTACAGTTTTCTAGTCAATTTCAGTGTCCAGGTATTTCTCATCACTCGTTTATTTTTATGTCCCTAAGTGTCATTAATACGTTGCCGTCGCAATTTTATGAGTTCACTGATTATAGTGTCTTAGATCCAGAAACATTGCGCAACTCATTTTCGACGTTTGATTTCGCTGGTATGTATGCTTCTAATGATGTTGATTTCCAATTGTGTATTTTGTATAGCAGCTTTAATCAAGTTCTTAGTTTGTGTCCTGTGCGTAGATGTCGAAGTGTATTCCACCGTAAAGATGGCTGGTTTAATTCGCCAAATATAAAATATTGTCTATCATTGCGTGACTGTGCTTGGCGGGCCTACATAGATAATCCTTCACCTGAGAATTGGAGGACTTTCTGTAGGCATAGGAACAAAGCCAAGAAAGTCATACGTCAAGCTAAGACTGTAGCCCATAGTAATATGTTTAAAGGAAAATCTGGTAAAGATTTGTGGGCAGTATTAAATGGTTATGGTTTGGGGAAAACCAAGGAGGTTGTTGATGAAAATGTGGATGCTCTTAATAATATGTTTTCAAATGCACAAGTGTCATCCTCTGAAGGTTTTACTGGATTTTTGGACGGGAACTTTGGTTTTCGCTCAGTTTCTTATGAAGAGGTAGTTGATGCATTCTCAGGTATAAAGTCCAAGGCTGTGGGCTCAGATGGTTTTACTCTGAAATTTCTTCGTCTTGTTTTTCCGTACGTTGCTGTTCATGTCTTGCATTTAGTTAATACTATATTTGTGACATCGTCCTACCCGTCGTTGTGGAAAATTGGAAAAGTGATACCAATACGCAAAAATGGTGCGTCAGGTGGATTTATGCCTATTTCAATAATGCCTATATTATCAAAGATGCTAGAGCGCTTAATTAAGCTCCAAATAATGGAGTTGGTTTCTTCCAATAGATTGCTCCATGATTGTCAAATGGGTTTTCGTAGGAATCGTAGCACTACTTCGCTGTTGGCAGGGTTCTATTCGAACCGCAGTTAGTGATCGTGATTGTTGTGTTTTGTTGTGCCTTGATATTGAAAAAGCATTTGATCGTCTGGATCATAATTTACTTGTTAGGAAACTAAATTCTACATATGGTTTTTCGGGTAATGCTTGTAGGCTAATGTCTTCGTATTTATCTTCAAGATTTCAATATGTTTCGTCTAATGGATGTAGCTCTAGTTTATTACCAGTTTTGAGTGGTGTTCCTCAGGGGTCTGTATTAGGTCCGTTGTTGTTTATTCTATACACGAATGATCTTTTTAATATGCTTTCTTCGGCTAATTGTAAGCCTTATGTGTTTGCTGATGACATCCAAATATTGTTTAAAAGTAGTTATGAGTTTCCTGAAGTATTACAAGCAGTTATTGATCATTCGACTTCAGTATTGAATCAGTGGATGGGTATCAATAAATTATCTATTAGTTCAACTAAAACTAAAGCCATTAAATTTGGGACATGTTCAGCTATGCCTGTGTATGTTCGTATAAATAATGTTGATATTGAGTTTGTTGATCATGTTAAGTGTTTAGGTATTTGGCTTGACAAAGACCTGAATTTTGATATGCAAATTAATTCTGTCGTATCGAAAGTAAATTTTCTCTTAAGGAAGTTGTACAGCGTTGAGCTTTCTTTATCTTTGCAAATTAGGCGGCAATTGGCGCATGCATTAGTTATGCCAATTGTTTTATATTGTATTGAAGTTTACTCGGGAACATTGGTTGGGATTTTTAGGAAGGTTCATTTAGTCTTTAATCGTCTTATTCGTTTTGTTTATACACTAAAGGTTCGGGATCATGTGTCGTCATATGTTTCTGATTTTATTGGATGTTCATTTCAAGATTTCGTTGTCGGACGTTGTATTTTGCATTTTTATAAGGTAAATATATGCCGTGTTCCTATTTTCTTAATGGAACAATTTACTTTTTCAAAATCAACTAGGAACCCTCAGCTTATAGTTCCAAAACTAACATCCATTTTAGAGCGATCGTTTTATGTTCGAGTAGCTAGGAAATTTAATACGTTACCACTTCATTTAAGAAGCTTTCATCTCTCACCTAGTGCTTACCGACATAGGCTTTATGCCTTTTTACGTACTAATAATTCATGGTAAAAGTTTTTTAAAATTCCATTGTGATTGTGTAATTGTGATTCTGCCTTGTGCTTTTAATTGAGTAGACCCCATCCTATATAATTGAGTAGACCCCATCCTATATAATTACATTTTGTAAGATATCCTCTGTTTATTTATACCATAATTAATAATACTCCCTGTATCATTTATTTGAGTAGACCCAATCCTGTTTAATTATATTTATGTTTATATTTTTTCTATCTTTTAATTAATATTGTAAAATGAATTTTATTATTACAGATACTTGAGTTGATCCCATCCTTCTTGTGATAACAGTTGTATAAATTATTGTTAATTAATTTTATTGTAATGATAAGTGCCTCAATTTTTGTATTTTTTTTAATACTGTTTTAATAACCACGATAACATTATAGAGTAACTTTTTTATTATTTTTTATATATTAAGCTATTTCCGCTCGATCTTCGAGTAGAATCTTAGTTGCAGTCAAAATTTTTGTTTGGGTTTCTGTGAATAATTACTACTTTTACTAGTATTGCTTGTCAAGTTAGTGAAATGTACATGTATTATTCTTGGCCCGCAATTGTTATCGTGATTGTTAAGATTTTCTTGTTTTATTTTATAGTCGAGGATTTTCGCGTTATTGTTTATTATAAGTGTAATTATGAGATTTGTAGACTGGTAATTTCTTAAATGTGGTCTGCGGACTTTGAAATTATTGTGAATAAATAAATTAAAAATTAATTAATTAAAATCGGAGGAAAGTATATATAGGAGCTATATGTAAATGTGAACTGATTTCAAGAAAACTTGACACGAAAGGTCATAGTATCTACACTACATTGTACAAAATTGTGTGCCAGTCGGTCGAACACAGGGTCTTTAGTGCACAACTTACATTAAATCGGACGATTTACATTAAATCAAAACTTAACACACGTCATTCTAGACCTAATTTAGTACTCTATGCCAAATTTCGTGCATATCGAAGGATATATAAGGAACCATTTACATACAATCGGACGAATCTATATATGGGGGCTATATCTAAATCTGAACCGATTTTGACGAAACTTAGCACACATAATTCGGGACCTAATTCAGTACCTTATGCCAAATTTCGTGCAAATCGAATGATATATATGGACTTTGGTGCACCATTTACACAAAATCGGATGAAACTATATATGGGAGCTATATCTAAATCTGAACCGATTTTGACGAAACTTAGCACACATCTTTCGTGGAAATCGAAAGATATATAGAGACTTTGGTGCACCATTTACATAAAATCGGACGAAACTATATACGGGAGCTATATCTAAATCTCCCCGGATCCTCTTCCCTGTGTAAAAGTTCGTGGTGTTCAGATTATAATTGTTGTAGAGCGACTAGAAAAATTGACAAAGTCTTTGGTTCATTTTTATTCTACCATGTATAAAAAAAATTATAATTACAATAAATTAAATATTTTTCTTCTCCTATTTTTAGAACAACAGTCAACCTCAGTTTGTTAGAATACAAAATAGTTATAACATTCAAACGGCAGAAAGTAAGTACCGGATTCGTTCGTTGTAATCCCAAATTTTCAAATTTATGAATAATTCTTAATAACCTACGGATTGTTTTTTCATTTGTAGATACCACATACACAGTTATAACGCCACAAAGTAGTAGTGGTAGTACTCAAAATACCAGTGGAACGACGGCGGCGAATTCCAATAATATGCAAAGACAACAACAACACAATACAAATATCACAACAATAAAATATGAACCTCTGGAGGAATTTACGACGCATACGGTTAGTATTGAATGAAAAAAAAAGAAAAACTTGAAAATGCGAAAAATAATTTTATATTTTTTTTACTTCTTTATAATCTACACACACACATTTAAATATATAGACGGTGGTCAAAGAGGAGGAGCGCTACAAATATAAACCACAAATTTTAGCAAATAATGCAAAAGCAGCGGCTAATAAATCAAAAATGTAAGTTGTAACAAAATTAATTTTTCTTGGAATTTTGGATTTTGATTGTGTATTTTTTTTTTGTTGTTGTATAATTTAGGAACACAACAACAACCACCAGCCATCATCAAAATGCATCTGTAGTACAAAGAAAACGTAAGCCGGAAAAGGCCGGCAAGGGTTTGCGCCACTTCTCCCTGAAAGTCTGTGAAAAAGTCAAAGTGAAGGGCACCACCACCTACAACGAGGTAGCCGATGAACTGGTGGCCGAAGAAATTCAAAATAATTCCTTCGACAAGAACTGTGATCAAAAGAACATACGACGTCGTGTCTATGATGCTTTAAATGTGTTAATGGCACTGCAAATAATATCCAAAGATAAAAAGGAAATACGCTGGATTGGTTTGCCATCCAGTGCTGTGGAGGTAAATGACAATATCACACAAAAAGAAAGAAGTGGGCTGGAGTGATTTATAAATATATATTACTTCTTTGTCGTATTTTTTAGGAATGCTCACAATTGGAAAAAGAAAACGAGGAACGCCGCGAACGCATCAAACAAAAACATCAACAATTGCGCGAATTACTGCTGCAGCAGGTCTCGTTTAAGAGTCTCATTGAACGCAACAAAGAAGCTGAAAGACAGGGCATTATACCAACAGCAAATTCATCGATACAATTACCATTTATTATTGTAAATACGCATAAATCAACCAAAATTAATTGTAGTGTAACCAATGATAAGTAAGTTTTGATATAGATTTGATTTCTGGAGAAAGTTTTTTCATATAATTTGTTTGTGGAATTTATTTCCTAGGTCGGAGTATATATTTAAATTTGATGATAAATTTGAAATGCACGATGATGCTGAGGTTTTAAAACGCATGGGTTTACTGTTCGGTAGGTTTTTATCTTCAATTTATTATTGATTGCAAATTTACTAAAATATACCATCTTTTTATTTTAGGTTTGGATAAGGGCCACTGTTCGGATGAGGATATTGAACGAGCCAAGTCATTGGTGCCACCAAATTTCGAAAAATATATTGAAGGTATGTTTCGAGACGTTTCATTACAATATATTTTGGTATACCCTTCACCACACTGTGGTACAGGCCCAAGGACGAACCCTATCGAAATTGGTTCAGATTTAGATATAGCTCCCATATATATTTTCGTTCGATTCAATGTAAATGGTGCACCAAAGTCCCTATATATCTTTCGATTTGCACGAAATTTAGCATAGTGTACTAAATTAGGTCTAGAATGATGTGTGTTAAGTTTCGTGAAAATCGGTTCATATTTAGAAATAGCTCCCATATATATTTTGGTCCGATTTAGTGTAAATGGTGCACCAAAGTCCCTATATATCTTTCGATTTGCCCGAAATTTAGCATAGCGTACTGAATTAAGTTTAGAATGATGGGTGTTAAGTTTCCTGAAAATCGATTCAGATTTAGATATAGCATCCATATATATTTTCATCAGATTTAATGTAAACGGTGCACCAACGAACCTATATATCTTTCGTTTTGCCCGAAATTTAGCATAGCGTACTGAATTAAGTCTACAATGATGTGTGTTAAGTTTCCTGAAAATCGGTTCGGATTTAGATATAGCTCCCGTATATATTATCGTCCGATTTAATGTAAATGGTGCACCAAAGTCATGGCGCACTGAATAAGATCTAGAATGATGTGTGTCAAGTTTCCTGAAAACCGGTTCAGATTTAGATATAGCTTTCAAATATTTTTTCGTCCGATTTTATTTTAATGTTTTTCTTTTTTTAATTTAAAACAATTTATTAATTTTCCTCTCTCCCTCCCCGAATTTATTTCAGCCTACGGCAATGGTAAAGCCAATGATGATATTGCCTATGATTCGGATGAAGATATGACCAGCTATGAATATATTGACGCGACACAGGATAATTCACAGCATGGCTATACAACAACAACGGTGACAACGGTGACGGGTACACCGCAACATCATCACGGAACGATAGGAGGTAGTGGTGGCGGCGGTGGTGGCGTTGGCATCGGCGGCATTGGTGTGCTACGAACCTCAGATCTCGAAGATGATGAAGAATATGTGGAACACAGTGATATTGATTGAGGTGTACAAAGAGTTACGTTAAGTAACAACAAATCGATGATGATGAATATCATATTAAAAGAACAGCAGCAACAACAGGAAAATAAACATTTCAAAACAATACAACAGCCACAAAAACAACAACAAAACATTATGAGAACAGTTGAAAAGAAAAATCAGACTTGTTCATCAACAATAGCTAAACCTGTAACCAGCAATTCTTCATCTAGTTCCTCCATCACATCTTCCACCTCGGCAATTGAATGTTCAACCAACTCCTCCTCCTCTTCTTCGTCATTATCATCTCCCACCCAAAATAGTCGTCCTGTTAAAAATGAAATAAAATCGGAAACTAAAGATTTTAATGATAATTACAAGAAAGAGCAGCCAAAAAGTAACCAGCAATTACAAAGGCCCTCCTTCTCATCATCAGTAGCAGCAGCAACTGTGAATTATATTTCCCACCAAGAACCACAACAACAACAACAAAGAGAAGAGCAAGAACCAACAAATGTAAATTCAAATGATGCTCTATTAGGCCAGACAGCAGGAGGACAACATTATATCGCTGGTATTGCGGCTGCACCTTTGGATAATTCTGTTAGTAATTTATCAGATGATTCCTTTAGTTTCTGTTTTATTTCGGCTTTATTAGGTTTGCACTAAATCCCTATTTTTTACCAAAACAGAAAAACAACAAATAATGAAAAAGTCAGATTTTTTTTTAAAGGATGAAAGAGTTTACACATTTTGTAGGAATAGGTTAGAGGATTTGCTGCTGCCGGGTAGCAGTTTTTCCACTCGAAGACCTGTGGTCAATTGTGATCATCCTAAAAGATGTTGTAAAGAATGAAATATAGAAAAGAACAAAGGTGTATATTTCATTAATGGGGAAGGCAAGGATCGGAGAAGATGAAGCCACAAAAATCGGCAGGTAGATGAGGGAACATCTTAGCATTTCGGGTTTTTTAAAGGGTGGAAAAATAAACCACACTCATCAGAAATTTGTCAATGTAGGACCCATGTTTTGGCAGAGTTTTTCCCATATTATGATATGACATAGCCCCCATATAAAGGTCCCTCCCCCAATTTTCTGTATAAAGGTCCCACCAAATTTTCTGTCTTTAAATGATTTTTGAATATATCGCTGATCTCTAAAAAAAATTTTAAGGGTGTCAATATCATGCCTACAAAACAGTTGATTTCTTCTTATGCGAAACATGGGGCATAGATAGAGTAGATATTCGATCGTTTCCTTCCCTTCTTTTTCTTCATCTATGTGAGATCAGTATTTCACTTCCCATTTTGAAAAGGCACGCCGAGCTTATCCAGATTTCGGACCATCAGTGACCTATAGTGAAATATATCCTTCATATCTACAATCAAGACATACTGGTAAAATTGGCCTTAATTGGAAATAATACCCAAAATGACCCAAAATCACATTTCAATGCAATTTGGCATTCGGTGCGTGAGAAAGGTGAACAACATGTTTGTAGAAAATTAGCAATATAGGACTAAGTTTTGACATAGCCTCTATGTACTAGTAGTCCCACCTCATTTCACCCGAAGTGGTTTTTTCCGGTGTGGCCTTAATTTGGCATTTCAGGTGTTTAAAGGTCGAAAAACACTTTGGTAGGCATTTTTTTCGATATTGGTTTATATTTTGTCATAGCCCCCATATTAAAAAGGTCCCGTCCATTTTCGGGGTTTTAAGGTTATAGTCTTACAGAAGTGGCGGTAATTTAGCGTTCGCAGAAACTCAGCAATATTGCACCAGTATTCTGAAGGTTTTAGCACCTATTTCCTTAACGAAGTGGATTTCTTGGAGATACCATAACCCGGTATAAGGGTTCCGCTTAATTTCCTGTATTCCATAGTGCCTATATCATCAAGAATTTATAAAGACATAGTCCCCATATAAAGTTACCGATCGATTGAAGGAATTTTTAAGACATTGTACATAGGGGAGGACATAAAAAGTTCGGCGGCGATAAGCAAGATTAAAAAAAAAAGATCGAATATCTATGAAGACAAATGCCCCGTAGCAAGAGACAGCAATTGATACTCCTTAACCTTTAAAACTTTACTGGCTAAGTCCTAAGTGTCTATTGATGCTCTGTATCAAGGGACACCAATTGGTGCTCTCACTTCAATCTTTTTCTCCGAAATAGATCCAAACCAAAATACATTGCTTTGTCAAAAAAAATCTCTACTGGCTAAGTCCTTCTCTCTTTTCTATCATTTCTATTTTGAGGATGAACACAATGAACTAAAAGCCTTTGAGTGAAGAAAACCAGACCTAAAAACCTATAACCTAACCTATCATCCATCCAAAAAATATTTGCTGTCTTCAAACACAATTGCCATAATGTGGTTTTGATGGCCTTTAGAGAACTTTTATTGAAGAAATTCGGCTCTAATAGATCCCGTTCCCCACTACAGTAATTTCAAATCTGGGTCCCGATCTAAAAATCACAATTTATACCTTTCATAAAATTATAATGTGCATTTTGACCGTGTCTAAAGTTCTGAAAGTAACCAAAAATAATTTTTTCAATATTTATTTTTTTTTTAAATTCCAATACTTTCTCATATTTGTTGTTATGTTTGTATTATTATTTTTTTCAAATTTTTTAGTTTCAATTCTATTCAATATTCCAACCCCAAAATCTGTTTCTTTATTTTCCAAATATTTTTTTATTCGAATATGTCAAATTTGTTGCGCGCAAGGGGGCTTAATGGAAACAGCAACCATTTTTTTTTAATTTTAAATAATTTATATTTTTGATTTTCTCAAGAAAAACAAAACAAGACTTAAAACAAAAAGCAAAGCGAAAAAAGAAAAATAATTTTTATTTTTCTTAAGGCAATTCTTATATTTTTTTATTAATTTTAGTTTATTATTTTTTATAGGTTTTAATTTCTAATCTTTATATATATATACAATTATATATAAACATATTTAATAATATTCAGAAAAAAAACAAAAACCCATTTGAAACATATAAAATATGTTTGTATGCTAATTTTTTATTGTTCTATTTTCAATATACATATATTTTTTTTCTATTAAAAAACCTCCAGTTATATTACAAACTTGTAATTAATTATTTTTTTGTGTTTAATAATAAAATCTGTTTCTATTATAATTCTTTTTTTGTTTTGTTTTATATATAATAAAACAAATAATAATGTTGATAATAATAAAATTTATTATTAAAAAATCAACAACCAACAAAACAAAGCCTACCTTTTTGAAACAAAAAAACAACTAACACATATATATCCTTTCTCTTTTTAAAAACAAAAAACAAAATAAACATCAACTCAACAAACAAAAAATATCCATAAAAAAACATTTAAAGAATACAAAAAAATTATATATATAAAAAAAGAATGGGAAAAACAATATTTTTTAAGTCCTTAAAAAACAAATAATTATTATCATAAATGTAACTGATTGCAAATTAATTATTAATTAATTAACTTTTTTCCTAGTTGTAAGAGTCTTAATAACAACAAAGAAAAACAAATTATTAAAAATTTAGTTTAGTAAAACTCCATTACAAAACTCTGTAGCTGTAAACAAAAACACAAATAACAACAAAGAATGAATGAATAATTTTAGGTGGAAATCAAATTAATAGAAAAAAAATAATTATAAATAATAATGAAATTAAGCATACAAGGTATCGAGAAAAATGGTTAATCAATAACAAAACTTAAAAGTCGGTATATAAATACAATAAAGAAACAAATAAAATGAGAAAAAAATTAAAAGAAAATATGTTTTTAATTAAAGGAATTTTTGTATGTTGGCCGAGCCAAATCTTTAGCACCCTCCGCAAAATATCTAAAAACGAGCGGCACCCTTGATGGAACGTGGCATTGTAAATTTGTCTCTCAGGAAGTGCTATATTGAAAGCTAAAACAGCATCTCCATTCCTTGGTCATAACGATCGCAGAACGGTTGAGAATCATAAGAATGTTGTGAACGCTAGGTTGTCAAGCGATATCGTGCTCATCAGTGTTTTACGGTTTCCAGTCTACGGAGCCTTGTTGATACCTGGACGCCTCAACAAGTTTTTCAGGCTTAGTCGCCGAGTCCTTGGCATGGCATAGCCTCGTATCATGGACCTCGTATCCGACATCAAATCCTTATTCTTAGAATTTGAAATTTCCATTGAAGGTAGGCGCATCCCCACCGCCCATAATCCGAAAATCCTTAGGGTGGTCTTCGATAACCTCCTTTATTTCTCCTCACATTGTAACTACATCAACCAGAAGGTGAAAGCTAAGAATAAATAAATAAACGTTGTTAACGGCATATAAGGCCATAGGTCGTTCCATCCTTAATTATGCTGCCACAGTCTGGATTTTTTTCTTAGCGACACATAATGGAGATCTTTGCAAACAACTCAAAATAATGCATCACCAATTACACCTTAAGGTACATGTGCTAGGGTCACATTCACCAATTACCCCAAGGTTCTAGGGTCACATTCGATAGTTCATAAGTCGTCCGCACATGCCACAGCTATTTGCGATAAAATCAGGAGCAGAAACAAGGTTCTCAAGTCGCTAGCCGGCAGCTCTTGGTGATCTGACAAAGAAACCTTGTTAATGACATATACTTGCAAAAGGGCGGTTTGTGGTAAACTATACGGCGCCATTATTCCAATAGACCTCATGACTTACATGAGGAGACGAAGATCCTTCCTGTGCGTCAACACAACAAGATGTTGTCGATGCTTGGCCTGCTTGGGTGTTATAGGAGTAGCCATCCAAATCCTTAACACATGGATAGACACCCCCACCTAGGCATGTCAGGAAGGATATTCGTGATCTGGAAAGAGATGTCCAAAGGTACAAAAGGCAGCCTCTAGATCAACAGGCCTATGAAGCAGGATTGAATCGTATTCACACGTATGCAGTTGAGGAAGAAATTCGAGAATATCGTGTGAACACTATCCTCGGAGATCAGCCGCCTACGATAGCTGCAAAAGAGCAGCAGCTACCTCGACAAACCAGAGTCGTCTTGGGCACTGGGCAAGAATTGATGGAGAGGTCGATAATATCTGCCCGACATATGGTAATGGACCACATGCCACGCTACACCTATTCAACTGCCCAGCCAAACCCACTCACCTAACACCATCTTCTCTTTAGACTCAACCGATACAGGTCGCAACCTTCCTGAACTTGGAGTTAGAAGCAGCACCCGATTAAGGAGAATAAGAAGAAATACACAGCAGTACAAGCTGCTACAACAACCACCTTGAGGGGGGGCCAGGATGCTGTCAGTCATGCCACATAATATTGCTTATTGACTAGACAGTTCCTGCTGGCTTGCTCTCTGTCGTGTCATCCCAACCATAACGTAATTATGGCTGATACACCTCGCGACACATCCGTCCATAGCGGGCGCGATAAAATCCGTGCATCAACAGGTGGTCTCCGAAGCCATAAATGGCTACAGATACAACAAATTCCTACTACAATTTCGGACATTGATAAACTTCTTCCAGGGCAAACCCGTTCGATTTTGGCACAATTAAGATCCGGGTATAGCAATGTTCTCAATTCGTATCCAAAGCGCAGTGTCCATGGAATGCTAAATAGAGGTCCCGTAGATTTATTTATAATCAATGACCGAGCTGATCCCGATGGGTGCATTAATGAAGTTCATTGGTTGTCAGTCGATCGACATCTAAAGACCACTTTCCGACTGACGAAGTTGATCGTTGGAATCTATCTACGAATAGATATCTTATATTTTCCCTTTGATATGTCCTCTTCAGAAAACCGATATACCCCACATCAAAAAGGAAAATGTTCATTTATTAATATTAAGAATTATTTATTATTATTATTTTATAGATCTATGATTAAAAAAATCCTTTACACAATAACTTCACTTCACCTAGTTTCACTTAGTTTCCTTACTTACACATAAAAAAATATTAAATAGTTTCATTTAGAAAAAATAAGCTTAAACAAAGATAATACAAAACATATATAATTATTCTCAAACTATCGTGTACATTGAAAATCTCGTAAAAATTTACATCAGTACCGACATCATACATACATAATGGAAAATAAAAAAAATCAACAAATAAGAAAAAAAAAACATTTGCAAAATAGTTATAACAATAAAATTCAATGCTTAAATTATGGTATTGCTATATAATCTATTTGGGATTTTTGTAGTTTGTATTTAGAATGTAGGTGTATATATGTATATTTGCTTTGTAATTTATTTAAAACCTGAATATTGTATTTGCCCATTTACTTCGTTGAGACATTTTTTTTGGATGTAATTAAAAAGCATTTTGCAGGGCAACATCAGCTGTTTGGGGAGGTCCCACTGGCTGGGGTGCAATTTCAAAATCATAATCATCAACTAAGGCCGCTGAGTTGTTGCTGGTGGCAGGCGGTGATGGAAAGGCATTGGGTGATAGATTCATTAATTGCGGTTGTGTTGTAGCAGCTTCTAAATTGTTGTGATTTGTTGTTGGCATTTCGGGAATTTGTGGTTGTGGCATTGATGCCATCTCTTGTTGTGGGGGTTGTACATCCAGTACGGGTTTCGTTAATTGTTCCTGACGCATTTGTTGCGGTGATTTGACATAGTTAATTGGTATAATTCCCGCATTTTGTCCATCTGTTGTGGCCATGGCCCAACCGGTATTTAGCAGACCCAATGTATTTTGTATTTCTTTGGGAGCAATTCTTACACGCTGACCACTGCATATATTTAGCTCAGAAGAATTTCTAGCCAAGAAATCGTAGAGAGCTACAGATTCTATGGGTTGTATCCATTTGCTGGGATTGCGGGCTGCAAGAAAAGGAAGAAAAGAAATACATTTATTAATAATCTGTAATGGGAAGAAATATACTTGGGTTTGGGCCAGCCAAACGAAAACTTATGGGGGACCTAGGTTAAAAATTATATATTAGAAAGTAATGACCGAGTGAGTGCCTTGATCGATGTGTTTCTGGTCCCTAAACCTAGAGGACTTCATAGTACGAAATGCATACGAATGAAGACTCGTTGTTCTTGTAACATGTTGGCTGTTGGTGAAAGTTCTTTCCTGAAAATATTGATAGAAAACGGAATTCAGATTGGAAGAAGGTAGCTGGAGAAACTGTGCAACCTCTATTGGTTTTAGCCATAAGTCTATAGGCAATAGACTTGTAGGCTCGGACGAACAATTGAACAGATGGAATGTATGTTGTGAGGGCTTTGGTGGCAGCAGTTGTGCCAGATTCGAACGGCTTAGCCTAGGAAGAAGCATCTCACTCTCCTAAATAGCAGGAGGATGTTGGAGTAGGACTTTGTTGCATCTATAGCCATTTATGGCTTCGGAGACCGACAGTTGATGCACGGATTTCATCACATTCGCTGTCAACAATCTGTTAACGTCCGATGGAATGACGTCTTGGATGTCATCACGATAGCGCCTGAAGGTCTGGCGGATGTGTCGCCGTTGTGAATCTGCCATCACAGTGTGATGGTTGGGATGACTCGGCAGATAGCATGCCAGCAGGGACTGTTTAGTCAACAATACAGTATGCTGGGATGTTCTCAGTAGCCTTTCCTTTGCCTTTTGACTCGGCCTAGGCTGGTAACTGGTCGAAGATTTCCCTACTCTGCTCCTCTAAACTATCGTGGATAAGGGCCCCGTGTATGTCGTTTCCTCCCAGAACTACAGTCCTATCAGCCATAGACTGATTTGCATCAGACTTGACTTGCTCGTTTACCAATTGAATTGCCTATTCGTCAAAGTTATTCGGGTTTGAAATTGATGCGCTTGTAGCAGATATGCAGGTGCAGGTGCCAAGGCATCCACAACCCAGAGCAGCCGGATCACAATCGCTTGATCTCGACGACACGTGGCCCCGAAGATCCCCCAGGTTTCCACGAAGTGCAGAGAAAAGTTGACGTAGGTCTGTTTCACCCCATGCACCCCATGGACACCCCTTTTCCTTACGCCACTCGTGAAGACGCACCTAGTAGGAGATTGGCAACTCCCCTAGGAAGTGAAAAGTGACCCTGTAGACTTTGCAGTGGATCATTTTAGATTGCGCTCCCGGAAAAAGTTGTTGATGGTGGTTAAGTAGTAGGAAATTTTTGCACTTACGTCATCAGTGTTAACGTCGGACGAAATAATCGTACTGTTATCGGCATACGACACCACTAAAACATCTGGTGGAGTAACGGGGAGTTTCGCAAGATATATGTTGAACAAAATGGGATATAGGACACCGCGCCTTGCGGTACTTCCATTTTGATCTTGCCATATTTGCGGTAATTTCTTGCAAAGCCGTTGTTGTGCTTCATGTTTGCCTGAACCCATTTTGGTTGGTAGCAATTACGAAATGCGGTTTCAGAGACTGAAGCAATAGGGACTCTAAAACCTTGGTTACTGGTGAAAGAAGAGAAATCGGACGGTTGGAATCCCCTATTAGTTGTGGATTTATCTGGTCTTAGAATTGGAACAATCCGGGCAACTCGAGAACTTTGGTCAGTTAACCCAGCCCTATTGCACCAAGCTTCTTTAACATGAATATGCCCAATATGGACCAAAGAATGATGGACCGTATCAAACGCCTTGGCTAAGGCTGCCACAATGGTCCGTTCAGGTGGTCGTCGCTGATTGAAGCCATTCGCAATCTTGGAAGTAATTTCTTGCAAAGCCGTTGTTGTGCTATATGTTTCCCTGAAACCGTGTTGGTGGGTAGCAAGAACGAAATGTTGGTTCAGAGACATAAGTAATTGGGACTCTAAAACCTTGGCTGCTGGTGAAAGAAGAGAAATCGGGTGGTAGGATTCCCCATTAGTAGGGGATTAATTTGGTTTTAGAATTGCATTAATCCGTGCAACATTTTAAATTATCCGGAATTACCAACTGTGACATCGATAACTCGAGAACTTTGGTCAGATAACCCAGCACTAAGCTTATTTTATATGAACATGGATATGCCGTCTGGACCAAGGGCTTTGGATGGCTTAGATTTGGAGATAATTGTCTCTACCTCGCTGGATGCTTGGTCCAGTTCTGGGAAGATGCATGGTCAATGAATTGGAGGTTATTGAAGGAATTAGCAGGGAGATTTTTATTTCTTTTGGAACCAGATAGACTCTTAATTGTAGATTTTTTTTCTTGCTGAAAAACGGACGAAACTGTCCGAGGGTTAAAATGAAAATTGTTTTTTTTTTTTCTAAACTCTATGCCTTTATATGATTTTAAGTACAAAATTTTAGATTTGTATTCCGAAAAAAAAATTTTTTGACACTGACTAGAACTAGGACTAGAACATCTATTTCAGCGCTTAGCTGTGGGATTCTGTCGTCAGCGGGGCTATCGGCACGAAGTTGGTCGCGTTGCTTTTGACAATCTATATGTCTTGGATAGATATTTGTTTTTCTTGTGGAACCAGATAGACTCTAATTGTAGACCATAGCTGTTTGGAATTTATATTTCAGTGGTTAAGGTATTCTAACCATTTAGAGCGCCTATGCTCAAGGGCCAGAGCATCAATTTCAGCACTTAGCTGCGGGATTCTGTCGTTAGAGGGGCTTTCGGTACGTAGCCAGTCGCGTTGCTGTGCCAATATAGATGCCCTGGATGGATAGTTTGGTATCATTAGAGGAATTCTGCCCGCAGGAATGAAGCGTTTTGCCGCTTTGGCTTCCTATCAAGGAAGCCTTTTATACGCTTTAGTCTTTTAAGAGAACGTCATAGTACCAAATGGATACATTTTAAAAATATATTTCCCTCTACTTCGGCTCACTGTATCTATTTGATTAGCTCTCTTACAAAGTCCATAATGACTGGAATATTGTCATACAACGATATTTGTTTTTGGTAGAAACAAATTATTGAAATGTTTTGCATTATGTTTCGCACACACACGTACACCTACTGGACACTAGTGTGTATGTGTGTGCTATACCATTTCCTATCTAATCTCTTAATCTGTTTTAAATACTCGTATACAAGCATCACTGATAAGTATAAATAAAAAAAATTACTACCCCCTCTTGCATCGTGTACAGACTTACCTTCTTCTTGAGCTGTCTGCGATACTGTTCCCAACAATTTCATTATTAAATATGGCGCTGTGAAAATGAAACTCAAAAATGCCACCACTGGCCAGGGCGATTGTCCTTTACGTGGCAATTTAGGTGCACCCTGCTGGGCTGAGGTTTCATTTAGGGCTTCGGCAAAAGCTTTTTTAAACGATTCCGATGAGGGATCAATATTGGACAAACGTAGCCAATAGAGCAGCCTAAAAAAGAAAAACATTTTTTGTAAAAATTTCCCATTTTTTTCTCAAGGATACTCACTTTCTGTACAGCCATGTTATGCCACGGAACAGTGCAAATGTATGCCAAAATTGTGAGAAAACACCACGCAAACGGCCAAAATTGGCAGCCACTCCTAGTATGGCACGAAAACTGCTGGTCAGGGCAAAAAATGTTGAATCCAACATGGAAGCAATGTTGCCAATGGCCATAACCAATGATTCGATGCTTTGGAAGGCGGGGCGTGAACTGGCCTCTGCTAATTGTATGAAACGGGCCTCCGGATCCATGGGATTCATGCCACCACCATAACGATTGAAGCCTCCGTAACCACCACCAAATCCACCATAACCTCCATAGCCACTGCCATAACTACCATAACCGCCATAGCCACCCATACCACCGAAACTACTTCCAAAGCCATAACCTCCGCTGCCATATCCACCCACTCCATAACCACTTGCATATCCACCACCAGCAGCACCAAATGCCGATGGTGCTACCGGCAGTGGTGGTGGTGCCGCCGCCGCTCCCTAATGATCTGACATTACCAGCCGGGGTCCTCAATGTCAAATTGCCACCACTGTTGTTGTTGATCATACTATTGCCACCAACACCACCCAGACCCGTTGGGGGTATTAGATTCGTCTCCGATATAACGGGACTGCGAAAATTACTTGCTGTGGCAGCACTTTCACTCATAGCGGCAGGTCGTTGCTACGTTCGCTCGTTCTTGCTCGATTGACTAAAGTCACTACTGAAGTAGTAATAATGAAATAGTGTATGAACTTTGTTCTACGGACGACGTCTGAGATCAGTGTGTGTTACCAGAGGACGGGAGGGGTGTAATTATTTGTTGTTCGTATAGATTGCTGGTTATTTCCTATAGCTTTTGAGACAAAGACATTTTTATAATGAAGATTAGTAACTATTTATACAAAATTCAATGAAATATATTGAATTTAACTAAATATTTATTTCTTTATTTTATCAACTTACCACTAACTTTTTGAAAACTAAAGATTGAATTGAAAAACGTTCCAGCTGCTAACGAATGGGAGGAGAAGACAAAATGACCGATAAAGATGAACTTACAGTGGATAACCGAACATTTACGAATGAGGTGGAATGGAGACTAAAAGAGAAACTGTATTGTTTACGAATGAGGCAGTTCAAAAAGGTTGACTGTTCACCAAATGGGACTGTGTAAACATAGTAGGGACATGACAATCGATATTCAGTGTTAACATTTCTATGTGAATGCTTTATATTTCTATGGATTAAATAACGCAATGTTGGGCTTTAAAAGCTGCAATACAGTAATATACTGTCCTGATTACAATTATTTTTTCAAAATACTCTATTATGTCAAATCAAAATATATGTGTGTTTATTTACTCAATCAAATAAATGCAAATTTGATTCAGATATACCATTTAATGCAGCTTGACCATTTAATGCGGCTGGAAAAATTGTGTATTCACTACAGACGACTTAAACAAAGCTGGTCTATTCCCGTATTGCAAGAATCTACTAGTTTTTACTATTTTCTTCGATATCATACAGGAAAATTTGTTATCGGAGTAAAATGTAGTAGATTCTTGCAGTACGGGAACAGACATAGCATTTCTAACCAGATTAACACTGTGGTTATTTAGCTCCATCTTGAGAAATTAATCAATCACTTCTATAATTGTGATTCTGGCTGTCATAAACTAAGGTATACAAAATTCGGACTATGAAGCACACACGCATTACCTTGCCTTCCTTTGCAGTGGAGGATGATGTTAGGATCCTCTCAACACACCGAGATCCCTTGAAGGGAGCTAAATGATCAGAAGTCCCAGCCATCATCGCCCTGTTTGTTTTTAGGCTATTCACAGTCTTCTCATCGTCTAGAAACTTCATTACACGTCGGGGAAATGGAGATTTTGATCATCGCCAGTGATTGCATACTCTTTCATCATCGTGGAGGACTCACCTTGATTTGGACGAGTCACTAGGATAGTCAGTGGTATTCATAGCGTCTTTCTCGTCTGTCAAGCATGAATCATCCCAGAGTTGAGCCGGGATTCTCTCCTGACTAAGGCGGAAAGAGCTGGTTCCTTCTATAAGATTAAGACGTCGTCGAGAATGATTGGGGTTGAAAAAATATAGTAGTTGTCCGGTACATAAGCATTGGTCGTCATCGTTTGTGGAGGTTGATGCTTCAACCACAATATACTGATTGGCATCTGACAGAAAAAAAATAAAACAAGGATTTCTAATGATGATGATCCACACTCATTTAGTCATTTAGACACGTCCGGTAGAAGAAACTTAATCATAGTCCCCTTAAAATCTATTGAGACGTTAATTACGCCCTGGACACGTGAACTTGAGACTGGTCTAGTCAATGACCAAAGAATTCCGACAGTGCAACATCCCATAATATTGATAGTTGTATTTGATAATCTGCTTAACTTCACTAATCACGCTGCGTATATAAAAGGTCCTGAAATCTGTATCAGGTACCTAATGCGGAAAGGCTAAAGAGACTGCCGTCATGATGTACAAAGCCAACAGTCGCTCCATATTGAGCTATACTGGCCCCGTTTGGACTTCAATACTAACCGACAACCAATGGCGTAACCCTCAAATGATCCGAAACAGTGTTCTTATATATCTACCGGATGTGTCATCGAGTGTGCATCATCTTCATGAGACAAGGATGCTGTCAGTACAGCTATACAATGTTTTGCTTGCTCAGTTCTCTCTGGCATGCCATCTGCCAAGTCACCTCAACCAACGACACATCTGGAAAGACATCAGATCCAAGACGTCATACCATCCGACCACAAAAGTTTGTCAATAGCAGTACGTCTGAAACAACTGCACACTGAAGCGTCGAGCCAAGCCGACGAGGACGGATATTGCATAGAGTCCTTAATGAACATTCTCCAGCAATCAATGACTGCGAAAAACTACTTTCCAGATTCTTTATAAATTAACATTTCATACAGAGTCAACTTAACAGGACAGGCCTAAATCCTCGTATATGTTTCCCCCTTTAGGCCAATGGAAGTGACTCGATTCCTGCGGCTACCAAAATAATTACTTCCAGCACACTATATCAGCGCCCAAAGTATAACAGCACTGCTCATGACACAAATCAATTTTCTTGATCAGCTAGATCAAGATCTGTGTTAGACCAGTGGAAGCGACTCGATATAAAGAATTAAAAGTTCGGCCGGCCAAAATTAACCAAACTTTTATTGATTTTCTATTAAAATTGCTCGGAAACACAGCTTATAACTGTCTGTTCTCCAACTGCACACATTTCTAATTAGACATTCCTATTATATCCAATTGCAATTAATGGAGACATCCATTCACTTGTCACTTGCCTATATACCAAAAGAAAGAAGAAGCAGAATGATTGCACTATTGTGAATGACTACTTTTTCTTGTGTTGACAAACAAACGGAAGACAGACTTTGTGCAAATTGAGTAGCTCTTGGTGAAAAAAAACAAATCCTTCCATTTAACTCCTCCTACACACCGGATTCCTGCAAAAGGCCAATGAATTCCAAAGAACTTTACACGATACGTGAATGGGCACCCTTAACCGATGTTTTCGATCGTATACCAACACGCATCAGTCGTGGTCTATTTCCGGCTGATTTAAATATCACTTGTGTCGATGCTATTGAGGAATTTATAGCGTTGGGCAGCGATGCCGGTATTATATTTTGGTATAACCGCGATTCCGGGCAAATACAGAAACTGAAATCGGAAGTAAGTTGTGTGTGGATGTAATTTTTAAGGAGAGCCTTTCTCCTCCTTATATGACTCACAGCTGTTATGTTGTGTCTTGAGGGTGTTTTGTTGTTGTTGGTTTCCTTCTAAAAATTTTATTACCTTTTTGTAGAATACCTCACGCATAACTTGCGTAAAAATTGTCAATTCCGTGGAATATATGGTTGCGGCGGGCAATAGCACCGGCCAGGTGAGTGTGTTTCAAATACAAAAGGAATTACCGGCCGATTTGAATTTGGTGGCACCCTGTACCAAGGCAAAGCCAATTGAGCGATATACCATACGAGACTTACATCAAAGTCCCATCAGTTGTTGTGAATGGTCTAAGAATGGCATGAAATTGTACTCGGGAGATCGTAATGGTGTGGTTGTGTTGACAGAATTGGATTATCAGACGGTATGTGATGGAAATATATGGAAAAATGTCACTATTATTATTTGTTTTTTCTTTTTTATTCCAGCATATTAGTAAATCGGTGGAGATCCTCAACGAAGCCTATGAAATTGTCCAGTTAAGTGTTCATTTGGGGCACCTTTTGGTATCCACTCTATATCGTTCCATTGTGTGTTCCAAGGATGAAAGTGGCAATTGGGTGGTTAAACAAATTGGTAAAAAAGATCGCAAACAATTGGTCGATTGTGGTGGCACATTTTTCAAAAAGTCATCCGGAAGAAAACCCCGACTAATATGTGGTCGACCGAATTTACGTTTTTGGTTGGCGGACGTCGATGGAAATGTAGAAAAAACATTACTATTTCGTGAAGCGGTGGCACTGAGCCCAACCTGGGAAATACCTATATTAAATCCGAAATGTTCAATGTTGCTAAATCGGACGTTAGGAAATACGCAAACGCTGCCTGCAGATGACGCCACTGCCATTGGTGATAGTAAGAATTTTCGTAACATATATTCGTATGGTGGTCAGGATTCACTGATTGTTACCCATGATGAACGTACATTGTATATTTTAAATTTGGATCGTCTCAAAGTGGAGGCGGTGGCCAGGGGATTTCGCAAAATCATTGATTTTTGTGTCTGCAATAAGGAGATATTTGTTTTGGAAGGTGAACGGTCACTTTTGCGTTTGGCCCCAATGCCCGAGAAGCCAAATAAAATAGGTAAGGAATTTGCAACAAAATTTAAGGTTATGTTCCGGTACAGACTGATTTTCAAATTTTTATCAAATGTAGCCCTAAGGTCCCTGATAGCTTACCTTGAAGGTGTTGAAGTGCTAACAACGGCAACTGGTCCCCTTCATACCAAAAAATTCCAAAATACAAAAAAATTTGGGAAACCGTTACCCTATGGGAACCCAAAATACCAATTTAAATTTAATTCGATTGAAAAACATGCAAAAAAATCGCAAAATATCGAATATTTGGGTGTACCTTTATATGGGGGCTATCCTATAAATTGGGCCAATGTTGATGATTTTTGGTAGGAAGCTGTATTGCTCTATGTGAACCCAAAATATCAAATTACAGCTAATTCCCTAAAAAAATGTGTTCAAAATCCCAACGTGCTAAAAATCTCTAATATACCGAATATTTGGGGGCTATAAAAAAAGTGGGCCAAATTTTATAATTTTTTGTAGAAAGATGAATTACCCCATGTAAACCCAAAATACTTCCAGGTAATTTGGATGAAAACCGTCTCCAAACTAGACAAAAAATCGAAATTTTGGAGGTAGGTTTATATGGGGGCTATCCTAGAAAAGGGTTCAATCTTGATAATTTTTGGAAGGAATATGTACTACCATATGAGAACCCAAATTACCCAATTTCAGCTAATTCGGTTGAAAAACCGGCTCCAAACTTGCCAAAATATTGAAATTTAGGAGGTAGGGTTATATGAGGGCTACCCTAGAAAAGGGTTCAATCTTGATCATATCAGCTAATTCGGTTGAAAAACCGGCTCCAAACTCGCCAAAATATTGAAATTTAGGAGGTAGGGTTATATGAGGGCTACCCTAGAAAAGGGTTCAATCTTGATCATATTTGGTAGGAAGATGTATTTCCCTATGAGAATCCAAATTCCAGCTAATTCGGTTGAAAAAACTTGCTTAAAATCATCAAAATATCGAAATTTGGAAGGTGGGATAATATGGGGGCTACCCTAGAAAAGGGTTCAATCATGATCATTTTTGATAGGAAGATGTATTGCTCTATGAGAATGCAAAATACCAAATTACATTTATTTCGGATGAAAAACAAATCAAAAAGTCCCAAATTATCGAATATTTGGGTTACCGTTACAAGGAGTTTATATCAAAAAGAGGACCCATATATCCCAATACCTAACATCCTAGGATTAAAAGCACTGTATGTGCAAAATTTCAACGCTCTATCTTAAATATTGCAACCTCTATCGTGGTGTCTCCAAATAATTCTATAGTAGGCCCGATCCTCCACCGGGCCTTTAATTTGCCTTAAGCCGGAAATTTTAATATCCTTCCTAGAAATATTTTTTCTATAATTTCCATTATTTTCTTTCAGCCAAAATAATTTACAACCCCTCAATGCCACCGCCGGTTCCTGTTATGGGCTCTTCCATATGTGGTACATTTGAGGCGCCCGTCGAATATGAACCCGAAGAGCAGCCAATTTTAAATGCCGAAGAATGTTTTGAATTGCCACCAATAGAAACCTTAAATTTGAATATACCCATAGAACTGGCGGTGGAATCATCGAAGGCGGAACAAAATCGCCGCTTAGAAGTTTTTAAAGAAATTTCCGAAATGGATTTTGATGAGGCGATTCTACATCATAGTGGTATATCCCTTAAGCAGGACAGCAGTACAAACAAGAAACGACGTAAAAGTCGTGAGCGAGGAGGAGATACACAAAATGTGGCCACGGAGGGTATTGTGGAAATTGGTCACATCGTTGAGGCCGAACATCATGGTGGCAAATCAATGGAATACACAGCCGAGTCAACACAAATGGATGTGAGTTATTGTAATGATGCCAATAATGGTAATGGAGAAAGGTAATTGGCACCTAACCTAACATTTCAAAACCAAACATTTTTAACCCCCCTTTCCTCTCCCCTAATTTTCTAGCATCTCAACAATGACTTTAAATTTAAAGGAAGCATTTAATCAACATTTTCCCAACATTCTCAGCCCGACAACGCTAAAAGAAACCATTGCCGAAAAGGCAAAATCCTTGGCAGAAGAGCTAAATTTGCCGGAAGTTAAACTTGAACCCATTACCGATGAGGAGTTACGTATGTCGAAATATTTGGCCCAGCCACCGGCACCCCAACCACCTCTCGTCTCACCTTTAGAAACCATATATCCCACAGAAAGTCTATTCAAAAAAGATTCAAGTATCCAGACAACACCACATCAAAAAATCTACTATATTGAAGAGCAAACAATGGCGGGAGATTTTTCTAATGGCCAACCCATAGAAGATATTTGTCATACCTTACGAGCTACCAATTTAATTGAAAGTAATAATGATAATGGTGAAAAGGAGGAGGAGAAAGATAATAAGAAACATTTAGCTTTTGTTAATGCACAATTAAAAGAACCTGACGAGGAGGGGGAGGACGAGGGGCAGGAAGAGATTAAAAGTTTTCTATTAGATTTCAATAAGGTTAAGGATCCTTTGGCACCCTCGGCTGCTACTTGTGGCACAACTGCCGCCAGCACAAAATCTGAAAATGAATCATCAAATGGTTCCTCAAGTGAATGGGAATTTTTGGATAATTAAAAAAAAAGAACAGTGAAAGGAAATATTCCTGAAATATCTCACTAGCATATTAGGATTGGACAATTATGTTTTGAAAGTTATATTTTTTTGTTTTGTTATTTTCATACACTAAGACGCCGACGTATTTGTATACCCTTTTTTGTGAATAATGCCCAGTGAAAAAGAGATTGTGTGTGCACAAAGAAATGTGATATTGAAACCTGTTTTGAAAAAATCCTTTTACTCTACTGGAAACTGTAAGTTATTATAATTTGTAAATATTATTTATGTATTAAATTTGATGCCGTTCAAAATCCATGTCTACAAATGACGAAATAGAGAGCAATTAAAAAAGAATAGGGGAATAATGTGTTTGTAACCTTAATTGGAAATTTGAAATAGTGACCAAAGTTGTATTTAATCAGAGTTAAAAAAAATTAGATCGTTGGATAAACCAATCGGAACTATATACAAGTCATCTTCTTTTAAAGGAAGGAATGGATTTATTTTGCCACTTAACCCTACGATCCATAACCAGGTACCCGGGTACTTTTTTGACTTTAAAGTGCTGCTGTTCCTTTATTTTTGAAGACATCAACATGAAACTTCGGATCACCAGAGATTTCGACTTATTTTAACTTAGAGATTCAAATTTGGTTAAATATATTAACTAAAAATCGAGTTTTAATGACCGGATACCCGGGTACATTATCTTATAGTTAAAAAAAGAACTATTGTTTTATATTTATTTTGTTTCAAATTTGTTTATTCATATGTAAAAAATAACTGTAATTGTTCTTAGTTAAATTATTTATATTTCATTCATTGATATTAACTTATTTTTAATATTTGATGTCTTATATTGATTTACTGTTGAAACATGGAAACCATTTTGATATTATTTTGGTATATTGATCGCAAACAGGTTTCTTGCAAATATTGCAGACTTTTCTCGTATTTCTTCTCCTGTCTTCCAACAATGTTGAGTTTCAACTAAATCTCGCCAACTAAATCTCGTACTACTCTATCGCCAACGCGACCACTCTCTTATTGCCCGTGTATATTTGAAGATATGCATTTTTAGCATCGCATATCCACCATACCTTGATACCGTATTTCGCAGGCTTCAATGGGATGTACTGGGTAAATTTTGTTCTGTCGCGATACGCAAACAATTGTTCGTCGATTGTTATATTTTCTGTAGGCAAATTATAGCATTTCCTAAATATCTTGTATTGCAGCAGCTTTGTCTGCGCGCTGATTCTTGTTCTTACATCATCAAAACGTATACAACGAAATATCAGATGCGGTGTAATCCCATTGTTGTACGGAATAGAGGATGAGACAATTGCGTCCTAAAACCCCTTTTTATCTAAATAAAACTAATATTTGGAAGGCCTCTAGCTTTCTATAAAATAATCTGTAGGTTTTTTTTTTACTTTGTTCTTATCTTTTTCTATGTATTCTTATATCAATGATCTTAAAATTTGTACAAACATTTAAAACAGTGCCCTTATCTTTTGAATTTGTGTTGATATTCCTAGACTTCAATGAATTCTGGGTTACAAAATTTTCAAATTATTCCTCTGGAAAAGAGCCATCTGATGATTTTTGGTTGATTCCCTTAGATTTTCGTGTATCCCCTGCTTTGTCAGGTGATACATTTTCAGATAAAGCGCGCCTCCGCCGACATCGGATTTTCCAAATTGTTATTTATTGGCAAAATAATACGCCTGTTCGGTTTGAAAACAAAATTGAGAATCTTGACCTTTGCCAAGCATAATTAATGTACACTCTCTTGTGATAGAGTGAATGGTTGAGAACGTGACCCTGTGATCACCAGCAAGACGAATGATCCAATTTATCCCCACCATATTAGAGAGATATTAGAGTAAGAAAGGGCTTTCTTTCATATTTTTGTATGGAATCTAAAAATCACATTTTGAAAAAAATGTATCCAAATAGAACTTCTCTTTGGAAGGTCTTTAGCTTTTCTTCTCTTTCGATGGTCTCTAGCTTTCTATAAAATAGTCTGTCGATTTGTTACTTTGTTTATATATTCTTCTATGCATCCTTGTATCAATGATTCCGTGTCAAGCATAAGTGATGTACACCATCTTGGGCTACTTTGCGACCGCCAGCATGAAGAATGATCCAATTTATCGTCACCATATCAGAAACGGTAAGATAGGGCTTCCTTTCTTCTTTTTGGATAGAATCTAAAAATCCTATTTAAAAAAAAGTTTATCAATAAATAAATCTTCTCTTTGGAAGGTATCTAGCTTCTTTTCTCTTTCAAAGGTATCTAGCTTCCTATAAAATAATCTGTATATTGTTTTACTTTATATCTTCTTCTATGCATTCTAGTATCAATGATCCTAAATATTGTTTAGCCTGGCGCAATTATTTCTATAAAAGCATGACGAATGACGCCACCATATAAGATATCGTAAAAAAGGGCTTCCTTCCAAATAAAACTTCTCTTATCTTAAAATTTGTACAAATATCCAAATAAAACTTCTCTTTATAAGGTCTCTAGCTTCCTATAAAATAATTTGCAGATTGTTTTATTCTTCGTTTATATCTTCTATGCATTCTAGTATCAATGATCCTATTTTTTTTTTTTTTTTGCCTGAGTCATGTACATTTCTATAATGTAATGTACGCCATCTTGGGCTACAGTCGTATGTGACCTTGTGACACCAACAAAACAAATGATCCAATTTATAGCCACCATATCAGAAAAAATTGTGTATAGAATTAAAAATCCTCTTTATCAAAATAAAACATCATTTTGGAAGGTTTTTTATAAAATAATCTGCAGATTTTTTTATGTTTTCTATAAAAAATCTAAACTTCTATTAAAAAAGTGTATCCAAACAAAACTCCTCCTTGGAAGGCCTCTAGCTTTCTATAAAATAATGAGTTTTATTAAGTTTTTCTGACTAGAAGTTAAAATATATACAGTGGATCACTGATTAGTTTTAAGGGGTATACAAAGTACTGACCTATTCCCACATATGATATATATACACACATATTTTTATATAATTTTGTGATTTATTCTATACATTTTAAACGAACTGTGGTTTTTATTTTACAAATGCACATATATAAACTCATATACATACATATATTTACAAGAAATCGTAGGTATATATATTTTAAAACAATATTGTTTTGTAATTTAATCAAATACATGATTACTGGTACATTAAGCGTAATATGGTCCAGACTCCAGCACTTGTGAATAGCAGTTAAAAAAATATATTTCAATTTAAATTCAAATCATTTCCATGACAAAGAAAAATATTTACTTTATAATATTAAATTCTATTATTCTTACCCATAAGCTGACATTATGAATCCATAGGATTTCCAAACCCCCTGCCTCATCACGAGGAGTCGCCGTTTATTAAAAAACTCGATGTATTATAATTTCTTTAAGTATTATATATCATTCGCAAAATATATTTTAGCTATTCCATACCGATCTCCACCTACAACTACTTATTTCCATACTTATATATTGATTCATTGTTGATATTATATTTATAATTTTAATTAGCACTTAGATTCTAAGCATAAACCTACACACCTATTTTTTTGTATGTGCTTCTTTTTTTGTTTATTGTGCGGAAGAAATCCGAGACGAAGAAAAAAAAAACAGAACACCGAAAATATATACATACATAAATGTTCTATATATAAACTGATTCACATATATAATTACTGCATATCGCGCTTAACTGCTGCTTAGAATAAATAATAAAGAAAAAAATAATGAAACAAATAAATGCTTTTATTGTAAGAAAAAATATTGTTTTTCATTTTTCTGAATAAAATTTGGTTTAGAGTTAAGTGGCGTGTCACATAGAGAGCTATTAAGATGCCAAATATGAGCCGAAACTAAACCAATTGGTTATCTATAATTTCACAGAAATTCGTCGCATTGAGTCATCAATCTTACGTTAGGTTCTGATGATCCTCCCCCTTACTTCAACTTCAATTTCTTTTATATTGAGAAAGTTTGGTTTATTTCCCATATTAACGGGTATTATTAGATCGTCAGTATTTAGATTTGTGGTGTGAATTAGCACCGCTCAAAATCAGTAATTTGATGACGGTTTCTTTTGCTTTCTCACAGGTAGCTGCAGGCCAGCCTTTGATGGTGGAATCGAAAAATCTAACGAGAAATTTACAGGTAAATTTTTTCATTCCCATTTTTTAGTCCGTTTGCATTCGATGTCGACAACTGTGTGAACTCGAGCGAAAACTTCAATTTAGAGACTGGTGAGTAGAGTTATTTGGACAATCAATTACGTACAACTAGTCGTGGGATAGTAGTCCACATGCTGGACAGTTTTTAGGCATCGTGTCCTCGATTCATGCTCAATATAGATAGATACGGTTTTATCATGGCGATCATAGCTCTGCTAAGACTACTCCTTTTTAATTTTTTTCTGGCCTAATCTCTTGACGAAGGTTTCAATCTGTATGGTTGCGGCGAAAAATCGCAGTAGCCTCAGCTGGACTGTTGAATAGAAACATGTCATTTGGTTCTAGTCCACATTGTAGGCATGTGTTAGTTATCGTGCCCAATATGAATTGTGGAGGTTGGGACACTATCCTGATCTTAGTTGGAATAACATTATTCGTCTTTGTCTCAGCAGATGCTTCTCTTTTGCTCCCCGAGAATATCATTCATACAGTAGTGTTCTATGCATTTTAGACCTGCTGATAGGCCTGTTGATCTAGAGGTTCAAGCTTGTGATCATGAAGATATTTCTTATCCTTATTAATATGACCAACAGTTGTGACAGTTGTGATGTGACACCCTGCAGGGCTGGGCTGCGTTCTGGTAGTTCTAAATGTGCTTCACTTACATTCGCAAACCATACTGGCACCGCGTAACTATCTACTGACCAGTCTATTGCTCTATGGTCTGCTAAGGTTAGCGCCCTAAATGTTACCGTCCGGCGACATGAGAACCTTGTTCTTATTTCTCATTTTAACGCAAT